GAAACTTTGTGTTAAGCATTGATATTGTTATTACTATTTGCTTCCATTTTGGAACACAACCACTTTTTCTTCTCTTTACTTTGCAATGGATCTATAGTATGTTTATACTGCTTCACAATGTAGCCTTAAGATCTGCAAACATGGATCTGTAGTTTTGCTCCTGTTTAGCCACATCTGCAAGATGTGATCCTTTAGTGGACTGTGTTTTATTCTGCATGTTGTTATTATTCTTTCAGCAATAAAGCATCAACTTTTAGAAGCTTGGATTTTTGCTTCCTAACTCTGCTGGATTTACAAATACAATCTTCCACCAAAACCGTACAGAAATGTAGGAAAGTCCTGGGAAAAAGAGGGCATTGGTCACTCTGGGTATGGCAAGTCTACTTCCTTGGATTATGTTCTGGCAGTTGCCTCTCTTCATCTAGGATTTCTTTGGCAGAAAACATCTACAATAAGATATCAAGAAAGCGGATGTTGTTGTGAAATCATGTGACCAGTGGGTTAGACTGCGGAGTTGTGCATATGATGCCTATTTACATTCAAAAGTCTCCATCTGGCAGATCCAGTGGAGAATTTGCATATGGGAGCCCACATAGTCCCTGGCTTTTTCAGGAAGAGGCATTTGTAAAAAGGTTTTTATAAACCAGCATAGCATTGAGCTGAAACAAGACAGGTTTTGAGAGGATGAGAGATAATAAAAGGGGGGCAGGAGGATTGGCCACTGGCCACTGTGAAAGAGGTTTCAATGAGAAAAAAAAAAGCTTTCTTGGTTCATGACCAAAAGAAATCCAATTAATGCATTTTGATCAGAAAGTATGCTGTGAAATTCCCCTCCCCAAGGCAAATCAATTGAGGTCTAATTGATACTACAGAAATAATGCAGTTTGACACCACTTTAACTGCCATGGCTCAATGCTATAGAATCTTGGGATTTGTGGTTTGTTGTGGCACCAGAGTTCTCTGGCAGAGAAGGCTAAATATCTCACAAAACTCTAAATCCCAGCAGTCCATAGGATTGATCCACAGCAGTCAAAGCAGTGTTAAACTGCACTAATGCTGTGGTGCAGATGCTGCCTTTGACATTGAAACCAGCCTTATCCAATGTAGATTAGACTTTAAAGTACAATACGTTCCACATGCAAAATCATTGTGTAAATTAAATAACAGTGACTACGAGGTAAAGGTGTATTGAGCAAGTCACCCTAGTGAAATGATCTGAATGTTAATAAAGTCGAATGAGTGCTGATTTCTCTGCAGACTTACAGAGAAAATTACCACTTGAAATGTCTACAGATAGTTTTACTTTCAAGAGCCAAGTTTACTACATTTGTGGGTTTTTTTTCTGATGAAATAATGAAGGCCTGTATGGTGTCAGCACATGTGTTCAAGTTGAGAATGAATTTTCACACATAGCTGTAGAGGCACACAATTTTTTAGTAAGGTTATGTAGTGTTAGCTTTGGGTTTTTTTTTGTTTTGTTTTTTTTTGTGGGATTTGACCATATCCTTTTCTTTGGATACCTAGAATGTATTTCTAAATACTCAGAAGCAATGCTAGAAATTTGGGAACTGAAGGAAAATTTCTTGGCAGAAATCTTATTTGTAGAACAATTCCCTCATCTACCCTGGTGTTGAGGCAAGTAATGGCAAAAGGCTACGAAAAGTGGCTTTTCCCAAAGGATTATAAATTTGTTTGTCTTAATTTCAGCAATGTTCTTTATAATGGGGGTAGGGTGGGGGAACCATGGGCATTTCTGTCTTCCACATGAAATTTCAGCCTACCAGATGGTTGGAGTCTTATAACAAAAACCCTTGCAGTGGAACTACAACAGCGAAAAGCACTGATAGGACTTTATCACACAAGGCTATAAAGTGGAAATGTAACAGGATAAAAGCATATTTGGCCAGTACTTATCACATAACATAATGTCCATCGTACTGCTACCTTGGATTCCATTTGTTACAGTAGTGCGCTTTTTCATTGATGGGAAAAGCCCATCAACAGACTCTCAATCTTGCAACTACTCCATTACTCTCTTTGTGCGATGGGTCCCTCCCACTGCAGTTCCACTTCTCAGGCATGAACGGGCATGATTCTGCTCCTCTCCCCTACCTCTTGCAGTAAATGCACCGCCAATGGCTTCCTGAAGTCGGCTGCTGTGTGCACATTCACACAGTAACCAGCTTTGGTAGGTGGTTGCCAGAGGGGCTCTCTTATCCTCCCTTCCTCCTGAAGCATGAGACTGCTGTGTGAACGTGCACACAGCAGCCCTATACTTTGGGAGGGGGAAAGAGAAGCACATTCCCACAATACACATACTCACAAGCTCACAGCTCTGAGAGGCAACTGGCAGATGGATTCCTCCCCTTCCTCCTGAAGGCAGCATTTGGCAGTGCGGGAAACAAATCATGTAACCATGGATTGCCAAAGTGCTATCATGGGGAAAAGTGTGATAAGAAATGATACTGAACTGGTATGCTTCCATTCTTAAACTTGATCAATTGTGACAGGTGGTGTGATAAAGTCCATAAAGTGCAAAAGGAGATAACTTTCACAACACTGGGGATAAGGGCTGGAAGCCTCACTGCTATTGACTGGCTCTGTGAATAAATTCATTTCTAGGATGTCTTGAGATGGAAGTAGACACCTGAGAATCATTAAAGTAACTAGGACCTTCATTAAGAGAATTTTGCCCAAGTGCTCCTTTCCTATATGAGCAGGATGGCAACACCAAACATACATAATTGCTTGAAATTTGCTTGTGATGTTGACAGCAAGCCTCCAAAAGTTTATTTTTAATAACAGTGTGCTTACATTTTCAGAAATGCATGTGAAATAGCAAGAAGATTTATACAGAAATATATCCATAAAGCAAACAGAATGGACATGCACACAACACCTCCACAAATTCTCAATATTTACAACACAGATTACAATTAACCATTTCAATGTCCAGGATCCCTTTTAAAAGAAAACAAATATAATAATAATAATAATAATAATAATAATTTCCTGCCCTTTGTAATAAATTCATATACTATTTCTCAAATTACTAGAAGATGTTCAGGTTGCATTCCATTTTCCAGGTGTGAATCCATTTGTAGAGGCTGCCTGGTGCCAGATTTCACATTACATTGAAGATTGTCTGTGAAAATGAGAGCAAGGATGGAAGGACCATATTGAACTAATTATTAAATTATCATTCTAAATCTGAAAATTGCACTGATTTTTCATAGATAAGGAAACAAAAAGAATAATTTGCTAGGAATAATAGAAAATGCAGGCATCTTTTAACTAATATCCACTAATGAACTATTTCAGGCAGCTTTTATTTAATTTATGTCTGCATTATTTATATAGATGACTTTTGTCCTTGCAATGTAGTTTTTTACTAGGAGTGCTGAGCTGTATTGTGGCAGAATTTTATGGTCATCCAGCATGAAAACTGGATCAGATATGTGCAACCAGCAGATGGCCTGACTTGACCTTCTCAGTTCAAGAACAAATATAATCCTAGAGTTAAATGCATGCTGGCTAGATGGTTAAAAGTGTAAGCTTTGATGTTCTGGGACATTTGGGGGTGGTTTTCTTCTTTTTATCTAATGTCTGAAGTGCAAATCCTGCTCAGAGATCCAGTTCCATTTACAGATGAAGATGATAAATGACTTCTTTGGTATCAATTTATGATTATGTGATTTTTGGCAGCTATTTTTCAAGATTAAAGGTGGGAAATAAAGAGGGAGGGAAAGCTTATTTTCTTTAGGCAGTGAAAGAGGAAGAAGAAAGTCATCCACAGAAGAAAATTATGATGTATAGTCCCACCACAGGGGGAAAAGTATCTAAGAGCCTCCTGTGTTCATCAACTAACACATCCATTTCAAGGGGGGATGAGAATTTCATATCAGTTCATTTTGGATCAGAGGTTAGGAATTGGGAGAAAGGGAAACTTGCCCATTCCTAATACTATTTCCTAAGCCCTTTAAAAAAGAAAAATGGTTTATCCTTATCCTATACATGCTTAATCTATCTCTGGACTATCACTTCCCCGGTCCATGGACAGCTATGTAATGCACAGACCAGACACATCTCTCCCATCCTGTGAGGATGGTGTAGCTATGATGCATAATAATAATAATAATAATAATAATAATAATAATAATAATAATAATAATAATAATGTAATACTTCTTCCTCAGATGCAAAAGAAGTTGTAGCATAAGCTTTGGTAGACAGATACATGGAGAGAATTTTTTGCTGACATATGAGATCACTGTGTGTGTAGTTGATACAGATCAAAGAGTCCTCAGATAAATATTTAAAGAAAGCCAGAGTGAACCTTTGTGAATTAATGGAGAGAAAGACAATGTTGGCTCCAGATTTGGGGACCTCTTGAGCAAGAGTGTTGTTGTTGTGTGCCTACAAGTTGTTCCTGATTTATGGCAACCCTAAGATGAACCTATTACAGGTAGGACTTGGTTAGAGGGGGTTTGCTGTTGCCTTCCTCTGAGGCAGAGAGACTGTCATGTGCCCAAGGTTACCTAGAGGATTTCCATGGCTGAGCAGGGATTTGAACCCTGGACTCCAGAGTCACAGCCCAATGCTCAAACCACTACACCACATTGGCTCTCTCATTCAGGAGATACTTGTGATTTTTTAAAACAACAACAACAATAGAAAACACAATTTTTCACTAAAGCAAGGTGGAGTCCCTTGCTTTAGTAGAGAATCATCATTCCTTGGTCTTTCATCAATGGCAACACACACTCTCTCTCATTCTTTTTGCATACCCTCCACCTATCCTGATTTGGTATGGACAGTTCAGATTAATCCTCTACCATCCCACATTTTCAACCGCATTTGTTGAAACCGCAGTTTATTTCCCCTTTCCCTTCCTACTGCATTTCCAGCTTATTTCAACTGCTGCAAACTGAGTTCAAAAAGCAAAAGTAAATTGCACTGAGTTAACTCAGGGAGGGGAAGAAAAGAGGAGCTGTCAACTTGTCCTTCCCAGGAGGCTCAAGCACAGTAGTGTCCGGGTGTGTGTGTGTGGGATGCACCAGGTGAAATCTCAGAAGGGGGTGACACCAAAGGAAAGGGGTGACATCCAGTTGGTCCCCCGCCCCCTGCAGGTGCTAGGCCTGTGTGGAGGCTGCTAAGCACCATTGTGGGGAGCTGCTTGGGCCTGCACTGGGCACTCCTCTGGGCCATGGTGCCTCTCCCCAGACCTTCCCAGGGCAGCAGGGCCTCTGCCTGGGGAGTGGGGCTTCTCCCTGGACCTTCTCAAGGTGGCAGGGTCTCTCCCCGGGTGGTGATCGCCTCTCTCCGGACCTTCCTGGGATGGCAGGGCCTCCGTGGACCTTCCTGGGACTGCGGGGCTGGTCCCTGGGGCCACGCAGTGCTCCTGTGTGGCCTGCGCATGCTCCCACACCACCCGGAAGTCCACTGGAAGTTCCACTCTGGAAGTCCCACCCCCCAGAAGTCCCTCTCCCTCTCCCCGCACCGGGTGTTACCCGGTCAGGGAATGCCACTGCTCAGGCACAAGCAAACTGTTGCAGCTTTCCCTGGTTTATGTGTTCTTCCTCATTAAAAACATATCTGTGTGGACCACTTTCTGATATTGCTTGCCCCATGCACCCCATTTTTCATCTGTGAAATGCTGGAGGGTTTTTGTTTTTGTTTTGGTCTTGTTGTGTAGCCCTGGTAGCACAGTGGTTAAATGCCTGTAATACAGCTACTCACTCATAAATCACAAGGTTGTGAGTTCAATACTAGCCAGGGCTCAGGCTTGACTCAGGCCTGCATCCTTCCGAGGTCACTAAAATGAGTACCCAGCTGTTGGGGGGCAATGAGCGTACAGTTGTAAACTGCTTAGACACTGCATAGAGTGGTATGAAGCGGTATATAAATGAAGTTGCTTTGTTTTTGCTTTTAGTGGTCTGAGCTCTGGACTGTGACTCTGGAGACCAGAGTTCCACTCCCTGCATGGCCATGGAGACTCACTGGGTGACCTTTGGCAAGTCACACTCTCACAGCCTCACATGAGGGCAAAGGCAAATTTTGCCAAGAAAACTATTAGACAGGTTTCTCTTGGAGTCACCATAAGTTAGAAACAACTTGAAGGCACACAACAATAAGAAAGGTTTTGTGACACATGCACACATATTTGTCAGAGAGCATCCAGGGATGCCTGAGGGGTACAAAAATGTTGTATTTAGGCCAGTGGCTGAATGTTGCTAACTTCTGTGGACCATATCAGCTTCATCATCCAAGGCAAAACAAATGCAAGTCTGCTGGCGTGGTGTTACTTCCCATTGATACTGTCATTCAGGGCTGGCTCTATCATTAGGCAGAATGAAGCAACTGCCTTAGGCAACAACTCTTGGGAGTGCTGAGCACCTATTTTCTCTAGTTGCTCCCAGCCTCTGTTGGAAGAGAGAACTATGGATATTGCAAGATCTGAACTGGATCCCTACATTAGACTACTGCCTCAGGTATGGTACAGTCTGCTATCTTCTCACTGCTATTGTATTCAACTACCAGACTAGTTTGCTTTTGTATGTGGGATGGGGGTGTGTGCTCTCTTGTTTGTTGCCTTAGGCAGCAAAATATCTTAGGCTGGGCCTGATCTCGCTTGGAGGAAACAGGCAGCAATAGCAAAGAAGAGGAGCAAAAGAGTGCAGGGACTGTTGGGGCTGGCAGTAAGCCATCCCCTGCTAGGCTGTGGGCCCTGACAAATGCACAACAATGCCAATCCCTAATATGAACTTTAAATACATCCACAATTTGGATATGTGATTT